CCCACCGGCCCAACCCATTTTCCTTTAATTGGTTTCATTAAATTCCGCGATGAAACTGACCTTCAAATCATTCACAAACTAAAAAAAAAATTGGAGCCTCAACGTCCCGTTTTGCAACATTTTTGGGGAAAAAATCAAAGTCTTGAGCGGATTAAGATTTCTCAATAGGGGAGGAACACTTTTGAGTGTTTTTTAAATGTTAATGAGGGGTTGACATTTTGATAAAGTTTAATAATTTCTTTTCAATACAAAGAACAACTCTTTCCCTTTGTGACGAGAGTAAACTGAGCGCAATTGATAAATTTAAAAAAAGTCGAAACTGTCCATTTTACCCCACCCTCCCCTAATTCAGTAGAGAATTGGTAAAATGGTACAAGTCAATTTTGACTGTTGACCAGTTTTCGATGAATATTTCGGGATCTAAGGGAGATAGTGAAATTTTTGTTATAACCTTTTTTGTAGAGACGATTGAGAGCTACAACAAATGTGATAATGATAATTTCTCTATCTCCCTTAGATTCGGGAATATTCCCCAAAAACTCAACTGGGGGATAAGTCGACTTGAACGGTTTTACCACTTCGCCACTGAATTCATCTCCCTTAGATTGGAGAATTCCCACTTCGGTGTATTCTGTGATCAATAAAATGTACCGAGGGGAGAGCACCCCTCGGGCAAAGGGCAATTGTGATCCTCCCTCTCTCAAGTGAGCAAGCGCATGCGTTCTAATAATAAATATCGGTGCACGCAAGCGCTGAGTGATATCGGGAGAAGGGCCCACGCGGATGCACGGCGACGCGCAACAATCCTTATACTTCGGGATATCGTAGCATGACCTTGGAACACGTGATAGCGAATTGCATGTGGATATGCGGTTTGGAGGATCGGAGGGAGTGGGAAATTGTGAACGATAGTCACGCGTTGGGAATAATCAGTTCTGAAGAAAAATTATGCATCACGCACCAAGAAATTTGATAGAAAAATGGTTTCCTCGGGGTTTCTGTTTAGTTTCTAGTGGAACTCTGCAAGAATTCTCTTGAATTTTAGTAGAATTCTCTTGAACAATTATAGTTTTTATGGGAGGAATTTTTATAGGAGATTGTGAAACTAACGAGTCATTTTGTGGAAAAAAAGGTAATAGATTTTTATGTTTCTGCTAGGGGGCTACGCCCCCTACTCGCTTCGCTCGCCCCCCCCCCATATGAGCCCCATGATCCTTATTTGGACCCTTATTCTGACGCTTGTGACCCTTTGTTTCCAACCCTTCCTTCTTGACCCTTAATTTTGGAGACTTTATTTTGAGTACCAAATTTTCATCACCAGAAGTCCATTTGGATTGTTGATAATATAGAGAGAGCCCCATATGACGCCCATGACCCTTATTTTGACCCCCCATGACCCTTCATCTGACCCTCGCGACCCTCATTCTGACCCTGATTATAACCTTCGTCACCCTTATTTAGAGCCTTAATTTTGAAGTCTTAATTTCGAGTATCAAGTTTTCATCATCAGAATTTGATTTGGATTTTTATAATATACTAGGGGGCTCGACCCTTATTTTGACCTCCCCATGACCTTTCATTTGACCATCATAACCCTTATTCTGGTAACGCTCGAAACCCTAATTCTAACGCTCATTACAAACCTCCTGACCTTTATTTTGACCCTTGTAACCTTGGACCTTAACCCCTTAGCCCTCGTAACCCTTGACCTTGGAGTAATAAATTTTCATCACCAGAAGTCGATTTGGATTGTTGATAATACAGAGAGCCCCATATGACGCCCATGACCCTTATTTTGACCCCCCATGACCCTTCATCTGACCCTCGCGACCCTCATTCTGACCCTGATTATAACCTTCGTCACCCTTATTTAGAGCCTTAATTTTGAAGTTTTAATTTCGAGTATCAAGTTTTGATCGTCAGAAGTTGATTTGGATTTTTATAATATACTAGGGGGCTCGACCCTTATTTGGACCTCCCCATGACCTTTCATTTGACCATCATAACCCTTATTCTGGTAACGCTCGAAACCCTAATTCTAACGCTCATTACAAACCTCCTGACCCTTATTTTGACCCTTGTAACCTTGGACCTTAACCCCTTAGCCCTCGTAACCCTTGACCTTAGTCACTGACCGTTCATTTTCGAGTACCAAATTTTCATCACCAAGTCGATTTGGATTTTTATAATATACTAGAGGGATACGTCCCCTGTTTGCTCCTGACCCTTCTGTTAACCCCCATGACCCTCATTCTGACCCTTATTTTGACTCCCACGACTTTTTATCTTAACCTCGTAACCCTTACTTTGGCCCTGGATTTGATTGGCAGAATTATATTTTTTCTCAGTGCAAACTGATCCAAAAATACAAAAGACATTTCACGCGGAATACAAAAATTTTCGGCAGAAATTTTTTCTACCAGTAAATTTCCATAATATCATTGTAATAACTGCTTTGTAGCTTACCTGATTGTCTTGATTTTCAAGTGAATCCCGCCAGGTGATCAATTTTGCTGTTAATTCATCGGTGTCGAGAGCTTCTGGTCCATTATCGAGAAGCATTGAACGAGGGTGGAAAATGAAGCAACTGAAAAAAGCAGGAGAGTCACTATGAGACTTGATGAATGAATAATTTAGTTTTTCATCTCGACGCGCATGTCCTATTGCTCAAAAAAAAATAAGAATTGTAACTTTTCTTGAGGAAATTTCAGCGTTTTTTTGTTAATTTTTTTATCAATTTTTTTTCGAGGCAAATTATTCCCTGAAGGAGATACCTTTCTAAAGGGCTGAAGAATCTATGAAATCTATAAAAACCTGAATATATTTTCAAGCGCGGTAAGTCGCACGCATGAAGAGCTTCAGTAGAAAATCCTCACAACTAATGTTTCCGCTTGGAAAATCGATTGTATAATTCTATTATTCTCTGTCAATTTCTATCGGAACGGTGTTGAAATTCTCAGCGAGTTTTCTCTTGAAAGGCAAATTCTCAAGAGAAAAGAATAAATGATTTGAAATAGGATAAGAGTATTATGGGTTTAACCAGAGACGTTAATGTGGAATTCAGATTTGGTGCGATTATTTAGATTGTTTCAGTTGCTTACTTTCTATCGTTGAGCGCCGGCTGTCCACTCCCAAATAGTCGACTCCTGTCACAACGTATCACATGATCACTCAATAATTCGTCTAAAAATAAACGTAAAATGAAGGTTAAGCAAGAACTTCACACCGGTGTCTTGGTGTTATGGCATGCAGAAAGATGTGGCATGCACAAAATTTGCAAACGAACATTTTGTCGGTGGCGCAAGCAAAAAGTTACGATTCAAGTAGCTTCAGGCTTGATTCAAGGATTCAAGTATATTCTACTTGCTTCAAGTAGGTTGACTATAACTAAATCAATCTGAATTTCGGGCTTAATGTGAGTAGAAAATGGAATTATTTATTGAGAAGAAAGGTCTCAAGTCGTCGACTACTTGATTCAAGTCGAAATGGTACTTGATTCAGCCCGACAAATACTTGATTCAAGTCGAAATGATACTTGATTCAAGTAGGAAACACTTGATTTCAAGAATTTAAATTCCGGTGATATAAGTACACTGTAAAAACTACTCTTTCATCACGGTCAGGCATCCCTCCGACTTGAATCAAGTATAATGTATACTTGAGTCAAGTATACGTTCTGCTTGATTCAAGTAGAAATCAATAAATTGATCCATGTCTAAAAATCGACCAGTTTCAAGTAGTACACAACGACTTTGTTCGAGTCACAATATAATTGATCCAACCCGCAAATACTTGATTCAAGTCGAAATGGTATCTGCTTCAAGTAGGAAACACACTTCATTTTAAGAATCTAGATTCCAGTGATACAAGTGGACTATAAAAACTTTTCTTTCATCACTGTCAAGTATCCCTCCGACTTGAATCAAGTATACATTCTACTTGTTTCAAGCAGGTTGACCATCCCTGAGTCAATCTGAATTATTTATTGAAGAAGAAAGATTTTAAATCATCATCTACTTGATTCAAGTAGAAATCAACGAATAGATCCATCTCTGAAAATCTACCTGTTTCAGGGAGTACGTAACGACTTCATTCAACTCAGAAAATACTTGATTCAAGTCGGAGACATACTTGATTTCAAGAATTCAAGTCTTAGTGATAAAAGTATACTAAAAAAATACTCTTCCATAAGGGTCAACTATTCCTCCGACTTGAGGCAAATATCAATTCGACTTGACTCAAGTCAAATTGATATTAGATTCCGCGACTTGACTTAAGTCGCAGAATCTACTTGAATCAACTCGGATCCGATCTGAATCCCATGGTCGTGGGATTAACTCGACATGATTCACTTCTCCTCACATCGAGTTGGATTCGTCGACTTGATTCGTGCTTTTTTTTCGAGTGAGACTTGAATGTGGATCAAACAAATAACTCACCATTCCCGTGATTCTTATACAACTGCGGCACATTGTGATTGATGTCTGTTGGATCGAGGTTATCGAATAGATCGGCTGAAAGTTGCTGTTGAAGGAGAATAGTTTCATGTGTCAGTTCACGTACTTGTACGAGGAGAGCTTCATAGCTTGACACTGGTAGCGTCATAGTTGTTTTTTAAAAAAAATTCCACCCCCCTGCGTCGACGAAAACGTCGAATATCCATTCGAAACGATTGTGGCTATACTAAAACAGAAAAAAAAATTTCTGTAGTTTCGATTTAAGCATCTGTGCTTCGAACAAGGTGAAGTAATAATTGTAATTTCGATTATTAATCTGTAAAACACTGAGTCTCGACGTGTTGAAAAAATGATCTATAGGCTAACGATCACTCTAATCAGTGCAGTATCAGTAATAATTGCTGACGGATTCCTGAGAATCAGTGCCATATCCCTGAATTGAATTTTTTTTTTCATCTGCCGTCAGGAAATTGAGTGTCGAAAAAATACTGGGCCCAAGATGAAAGTAAAAGAGTACAACATTATTCTTCTGGCCCTTCATGTGAGATGCGAATCATGTTCATGTAGTAGTCACACATTGTGCGACTACTACCTACCATCGATCCGGCGCGTGCTGCAACTACCTCTTATGTATAAAATTCTGTGGGGCGCCTTTACCGTGGTCTAGTACATACGCGGCACACTCAACGACGAAAGAATCGTGCCGGAGGGCGTCAGTACATCCACGAGAGAGGCTCTTCAGCACGAACAAAATCTCTCTCCACCTCCATATACGTAATGATACTTGAGATGAAAAACGTAAAAATCAATGTCACAAGGGAAAATATCCATTTCCAGAAACATGAGATGCATTAAATATTTGGACTAATGGATGTGAGGAAATAAATGTATATTGTGTGGGTGACGACTTGTGAGAAAGAATCAATTGAATTTTTAATTTCACGGAGAATTTGATGGCACTCTAAATTTTTGGCTGATAGGAAGACAATATTATTGTTCACGCTCGGAAAAACTTGACAAAAAAATCTAGCGAATTCGATAAAAAGTTGAATTGAATTTTTGCTGAACTTGTTTTGACAATTCAATTAGTTTTTGGTTTAACTGCGCGTTTTCTGATAAAAAATCGCCAAAGAAACTATTTTATAGAGAAAAAATCTGCAGAATTTTCTCTTTCAAAGAGACCTCATTATTCGAATTTTTATTTTTTTTGTTGATATTTAATATGAATGTAAATTTGAAGAAATGCGAAAAATCGCTGGAGGTTGGCACGATCCTTAGATTCTCAGTCTGAGACTTACGCACATGGCTATCCTCTCAGTTCTATAAAATATTCAAAATTTTCTAACGCGTATTTTTCTCGTTTAATTAAGAAAATTCCTCAAAAAAACTGCAACAATTTGAGCAGAGGAATTTCGACATAAACTATTTTTTCTATAGAATATTTTTCATTCAGAATGACTAATAATCTCATCAAAAATAATTTCGCTCTTTTTTAACCACTGAAAGTGGTGAACATGTATCGGCATTAAATCCCCTACATATGGTGAGACCTTGACAAGAATGTCGTCCGGTTTCTCAAGATACCATAAAAGTAGCTCTTACGATGAGGATTCGCTTTCCATGGAATTGGCCCTGAAATCTAAAACAATTCCACGATGGACCACCGGAAGTTGATATTCCCATTGTCATCTTATTCTCAATCTTGTAAAACTTCATTTTTCACTTTTATTGTTTATTTAGCTTCTTTTTGGAAATGTATAACTATAATCCATTATCTTTATCAATGTTTATATTGAACTTATTAAATATTTAGTTGAAGACCCTCGGGGGATGGTTAGGTGCAAGTTCTCGAAAAAATCCGATTTTAATATTTTATTTGAACGATAGATATGTAGCATTTGGCAATTTTCACATGAAACCTTGGGTTAAATAATCGTTTTTGAACATTATTATTTATAAACTAGGGGGTTACACCCCCTGCTCGCTCCCTTCGCTCGCCAACCCTCATATGAACCCCTTGAACCTTATTCTGACCCTTGTGACCCTTAATTTGACCCTGTAATCCTTATTCTGACCTTTATGATCTTTAATCTAACCCTCTGATCCTTATTCTGACCTTTCTGACCCTCAATCTGACCCTCGTAATCCTTAATCAGGCCCTTATCACCCTTCATGACCCTCACGACCCTTCTTCTGAACCTTATGACGCTGATTCTGACCCTCTTGATCCTTATTTTGACCCTAGTGACCCTTAATTAGAGTCTTAATTTCAAGTACCAAATTTTTGCCACCAGAAGTCGATTTGAAGTTTTATAATATAATATAAAGAGTAACGAAAGTGACAATTCAATAGCGAAAAAAGTAGGAATCTTAGCGAGATTTCGGGTAATTATTTGTAGTTTTAAAAAAATCTTTTAACGGCAGGTTCACCTCGGGAAGAAAATGTTTTTGTTTTTCGAAAAAAAGAATTTAAAAATAACATTCTCTGCATCGTCTGACTTTGTAGCGTAATTTTTTAATGAATATCATGTTTTTATTGACAACTTAAGGAATTTTGTGAATTCTTTCCTGCCTGCTGTTATAGAAGTTGAAATTCCATTAACTTTTCAGTGAAATTGCGAGTGTCAATATCTCGTTCCCCCCCTTAAACGAATTGAATTTCACTTATTTCAATGAAATTTCAAATTTATTTTCACGGCGAATAATTGATTGAGTCCATTCCCTGCAGGATTGATGGTAAAATCAAAGTGGTTCATTTCTTGTTCCTCCATGAAGCAGTAGGAGAAATTCTCTCGAAGTAGTGGTACAGAATTAGATATGTGACCTAGTTGATTCTCTTGATGCTTTTTGTTATCATTCTCATCATTTTTAGGACTCAAGTGCAATGCGTCTCATCTGAAGTCTAGTAATTGACGAATAACAAAACGTGCGGTATATTATGCATGTTTATTAGAACGATAGCTCTGATTTTCGGGAAAATCGAGGAATACGAAGAATGAATTATTTTAGAAGTGCAACATATACGTTCTGATGCCCTTTCAATGGAGAGGATAAGGGGTCTACTACCTCCAAAGTTTCATGAAGTAAAGCGAGTGAAGGGAAATGTCAATTTCTATTTATGCATGTATGAAAAAATTTCATAGAAGAATCTAGTGAATTCGCACAGAAAGGGCTATTGAATTTCTATTCTTTTTAAGGACACAAAAGACGGATATGGAATGAAAAAAATTGAAGTGCTCGGGATTTGATTCGGAATTTTGAAATTGAGGAATGTGTTAATAATGATAAAATTAATGTGTTAATAATTGATAAAACCTAATTTAATTGGATTACTATTCAACTTTGGGCAATTATTAGTTTATTTTAATAATTTAATTTTGATAGTTTATTAAAATAGTTTCGATAATTATTTCCTTAGTTTTTGTCCGATTTTACTGAAATATTCAGTAGAAAATATTTTAGAGAAAAAGAAGAATTCAACAGAATTACATTTTTCTATACAACTTATTCTGTTGAAATATTCTCTACAGAATTTCCTCGGCTTTAATTTTCTAAGTTTTTTTATTTGATGGTCTTGATGAAAAAGAAGAAAAATAGAATGAAAAAAATTGAAAATTTGAGCTGAGGAAATTCTACAGAAAATATCTCAATAGAAAAAGGGGTAGAGAAAATCGAATTCTATTGACTTTTTTTATAGAATGCAAGATCTATGCGCGCGCTGATCTATTCATTTGGTGAAATGAAGAAATGGAATTCATTAAATTTCATTTTCTGATGAATACCTTATAAATATTGATAATGAATCAAAGAGAATTCGACTAATGATTGAAGTGAATAGCGGAGTAGAGTGAAAGAATCTATAAAGAAATTTTCATTTTCAATTAATTATCTTCAATGTTTTAAAGTAATCGGTCTCCACAAAAGGACAGAATTTATTAATTTCACCGATGATATATATATATA